AAAAAAAAAAAAAAGGTGACAATGACGACACAGTAGGGAAAGGATACTCTTTTCAATAAATGTCATCGGACTGATTGACTGGCCATGTGAAAAAAATATGAAAGAGCCTCTATCTCCCCCAAAATCGATTTCAGGTGGATCGTAGACATCAATGTGAAAAGCAAAAGACAAAAAATTATAGAAGATGATATAGGACAAGATCTTCATGATACTGGGAGAGAAGGATTCTAAGGCAAGACATAACAATTACTAACTTCAGAGAAAAAAACGTATAAGTTAGTCTACATCACAATTAAGAACATCTATTTATCAAAAGACACTATTAAGAGAGTGAAAAGGCCAGCTATAGAGGGCAAGCAGGTGTCTGAAATACATAACATCAACAAAGGGCTCGTCTCCAGACTATATAAAGAGCTCCTGGAAATCAGTAAGAAATAGATGACAAGAGGAAAATAGATACGACAGGTGAACAGGCAACTGACAAAAGAGGAAATCCAAATGGCTACTTAAATATATGAAAAACTGCTCAACCTCTTGGTAATTAAGTGAACGCAAATGAAAACTACCAAGAGGTACCGACTGGGCTGATGGGAACTTCATAAGAAGGACTCAGATCTCAACCTCAGAACTCATCGGCCCCAACGCCACCTGACGGTAGGCAAGTACATGGCACCCCCAAGCAAGGTGTCTTGCCAGAGACCTAAATCTGATTAGCCTCTAGGGTTAACAGTGACTTCACAGGAAATACAGGGGACAGAGGAATACACTGACCATGGGGATAAAACGAAGTATTTACAGAGGAAATCTGATGTCTGGGATTCGCTTCTCGGGGAGGGGGGAGGGTGTGGATCAAACAAGAAGGGCAAAATGTAGAACACCGTTGAATCTGGGGCACAAATACTTGTCCATCCTACTTCTGTCTACTGTGTGTGCTTGGAATTTTTCCTAATAAAAAACTTCTTAAAATCTGTAGCTCCCCCCCCTTCTCCCAGGAGCTCCCCATTTGGCCCCATCCAGCTGATTCCCCCCTCCTCTCCTCTCCTCCCAACTTCCTCTCCCGCGCTGCGTCAGCCAAGCTTCTCTTTACAGATCCAAGTCCCTCCTCCTGCAACACTTTCTCTCATCCTTTAAATGTCACCACCGCTGTCCCCAGTCAGGCTAGGCCATGTCCCTCTGTTCTCTGCTCTCATGCTCTCTGTACATTTCCTTCCTATAGCACCGGTCGTTGTAGAGTTGGCATTTATCAGTGTGATTATCTGTCTTCTGTCTGGATCCTTACTCCAGCTGTCTGGTCACCGTGAGGGAACCTGAATTCTGTGGTCGGGCTGTGTCCAACTCTACTCCACTTATTACGAGCTGGGTGACCTTGGGCAGTAGCACCTCACATCTCTGGGAAGTGGAACAATAACAATACCTACGTATAAAGTTGTATAAGAATTGTATGCCGGTATGAATGTGTTAAGCGTCCGGTTCTCACAGGTCACGAGACCTCGTCCCAGGAGTTCAGCCCCGCTGTCGGGCTCTGCTGATGGCTCAGAGCCTGGAGCCTGTTTCCATTCTCAGGTCTCCTCTCTCTCTCTGCCCCTCCCCGCTCATGCTCTCTGTCCCAAAAATAAAATAAAACGTTGAAAAAAAAAATTAAAAAAAAAAAATAAATAAAAATAAAGTTGTATAAGAATTTACAGAGTGCTTAGGCCATATCTGGCACTGAGTAAGGGCTCTAGAAACATTAACTCAGGCTGGGCAGTGTGCCTGGCACACAGTATGAACTGGATAAACACTGGATGGATGGATGGATGGATGGATGGATGGATGGATGATCCTGCTTCCCAGCAATGTACAGCCAGGCTCTTCCAGGAAGACCCACAGGGCTCTCCAGCCCCAGGGGCCCCCACCTCCTCCCTGTCAGCCCTGAACACTTAGCCCTGGCCTAGCGGCCTAGCAGCCACCAACATAACACAACAGCTACAGAAACAAAGGGGGCTTGGTGCTGGCTGCACGGATTCAAAATCTAGCGTGTGACCTGTGGCAAGTTCTCTAACCTCTCTGGGCCTCAGTTGCCTCCTCTGTAAAATGGGGGCGAGAGCAATGTCTACCTTGCAACGATTAAAAAACTTAAGTCACAAAGGGGCACCTGGGTGGCTCAGTCGGTTGAGCGTCCGACTCTTGATTTCGGCTCAGGTCATGATTTCACGGTTCATGGGATCAAGCCCTGAGTTGGGCTCAGCACCGATAACGTGGAGCCTGTTTGGGATCCATTTTCCCTCTCACTCAGTCCTCCACTGGCACACTCTCTCTCTCAAAATAAACAAACATTTAAAAATAAATAAAAATTGGGGCGCCTGGGTGGCGCAGTCGGTTAAGCGTCCGACTTCAGCCAGGTCACAATCTCACGGTCCGTGAGTTCGAGCCCCGCGTCGGGCTCTGGGCTGATGGCTCAGAGCCTGGAGCCTGTTTCCGATTCTGTGTCTCCCTCTCTCTCTGCCCCTCCCCCGTTCATGCCCTGTCTCTCTCTGTCCCAAAAAAATAAATAAACGTTGAAAAAAAAAATTTAAAAATAAATAAAAATTTAAAATTGAAATGAAAAAATTAAAAAAAATAAAGAATAATAAAAATAATTAAAAATTAAGTAACAAAGCACTGAGCAGAATCCTTGGCACACAGCTAAATGCCCTATAAATGTCAGCTACGGTTATAATTATCATTGTTCTTACAAAAATTTTATTTGCCCTTCCCAATGGGCGGGACTTCCTCCAGGTGGCAATGGCGTCCTGGATTCAGCACGCCACAGGGCACAGCATGCAGCAGGCACTCGGTAAATATGCCAAAAAGCCTTTGCTCTCTTCACTTTACTCTGCCAGCCCCCGTGTTTTCACCACATCCAACCAAACACAAAGCCTTTGCACATGCTGTTCCCACTGCCTAGAACACTCTTCCCCACTCGCTTCACCTGACTCACCCCAAGACCCCAGCAGGTTCCTATTCAGCCTCCTAGAGCACAGACTCCCTTTTCTGCCTAATCCCATCTCTGCTAGCAATGCTATTCCCAGGTGGTTATGGGATCAACGTCCATCTGCCCCCTGGGCTGGCCACAACGTGAAGGGCAGGGAGGGGGCCAGCACAAAAGAGGCGCTGAATATAGCCCCACCTCCACTGTCTTTGCACATGCTGTTCTGGAACACCTCTCCCTTACCAGGCAGGCTCCAGTCTCCCCTCTGGGCTTCCCAAACTCCATCCACTGTGTATCTTCACTGTCTACAGACAAAGCTATCTCCCCCACTGGACCTGGAGTCCCAGGAGGGCAGGGCCAGGATTGGCTGAAATCATTGCTGTGTCCCCAGCACCTCCCAGCACAAGGCAGGCACAGAAGAGGGGCTCGGAATAAATGTTTGGTGAACAAGGGACCACCACCCTTCCAATAGTGCTGAGCATAGGGCCAGGCAGTGACTGATGGGATGCCTCCTCCCCCCAGCCCCAACCGCATTCGCCTCCCGGACTCACTGTTCCCTCAGGTGCCAGATCTCAGTCTCCCGGGTGTCCCGAGCATCCTGGCCGTCCAGCCCTCGAAGGCGGCCCAGCTCCTCCTTCAGTGAGCGGATGATGCCCTGCAGGACCACAGGGTCCGGCTTGCCCTGGTACGGGAGGGGCAGCGGGTAGTGAATCCTGAGGAAGATTAGAACCGTGGCATCTCAGAGGCCAAGAATCCACCCGAGGGTAACTACCAGACCCTGAGAGCCTTCGAGTAGGAAAATACACAATTCCAAAAACCTCACGTTCCTAGAGGCTTAAGTTCTAAATGCAACTTCCAGCCCCCTCCCTGCGCCCAGATCCCTTGCACCAGCTGGCCGTCCCTGAGACTCCCTTCTAGAGCAATTTTGGAACCCCTGGCATTGATGGGCTGGTTGTAGTCCGAATTAACTTCCTCATCATACACTGCTGGTATCACGTTACTTACCACCAAGCAGTCCTAATTCGATTCCATAGGGGTAGATTCTAAATGGCCTGATCTGCGTCACCACTTAGCAGAGGAAAGGTAGGGCACCTTGATTAAGGTCCCACCAGACGCTATGCTCACAGGACTGACAACTTCCCATTAGAAAATCCGGGAGCTATTATCAAATGGGGCAGATGCTATCCCCTGGCTACCCAACAGCCATTGCCAGCCCCCTCCTCCTCCCTTGCTGCCTCCCACTGTACAGGCTAAAGAGCCAGGCATTGATTTTAGCAGCATCCCCTGCACATGACCACTTGTGGCCAAATATTAGGGAAAGGCCGCAAGACCTTTTCTGGCCAGATATTATAGGAAACCTATTGGGCATCTTTTAGGAACACTTCTATTTTCCTGATTAAAAACAGTAGATGCAATTAGCAAGTACAGCCCGGTTCTCTTCCTCTTGCTTTGATACAGAACCCACGCCTGGAGGGCCAGCAGCCATTTTGTGACCTTGAGGAGACAAGGATGAGGTCCAAAAGCCAACACTTTAAGGATGACAAAAAAGGAATAAAACAGAAGGAGCCCGAGTCCCTAAGGAAACTTCTAGGTAGTAGCCACTTACCTAGACATTTTGTTGGGTGATAAACTATTGTTTGTCTAAAGCACCTGGAATAGTTATTCTACTACTTAGAGCCAAACACAATACCAAATGATACAAACCCCAACAGTGAAGATTCCAAAGGCAATACCCCCACCCCACCCTCAGGGTTTTCTGAGTTCTAACTACACCCTCTCCTACCCACCCACCAGCCTGAGCCTGGAGCCAAGTCCTTTATCCCCACCTGTCAAACTCCACAGAGTAGATGAGGATCAGGTAGCGCTTGGAGTTGAGCTGGGCTGATCTTGAGGCCAAAGGGCCTGGGCGGCCCCCCATCTTGCGATTACGCAGGGACTCCAGGTCTGTGTAGGTCAGCAGGTCAAGGGTGACCGACTCACTGCTCTGTTGGAAGAGGACGGGAGGAATGGCCAGGCCCGGAGCACACAACCCACAAAGCCAGGCCACGCCCCATCCATTCGTTGGGCTAGTGGGGCCTTTCCGACACTGAGACAGATGACCAGGATGGCTCTGCCCCAGGGGCTGGCACAAGGACACCAGAGGGAGAAACTGGTAAGAACCTAAATGGTCAACCATGGGGGACAGCTTAGTGCTGTGGCTCTCCAAGTGTTGTCCAAAGGCCCCTGGGGGGTCCCCGAGACCCTTTCAGGGAATCCACGAGGTCAAGACAATTTTCCTAATAATACTGTCATGGGTCCTTGCCAAAGGCATCAAATGCAAATGTACGAGGAGTCACTGTGTTTTCTGTTGCTCAGCAATCTCAGTGGGGGGCCAGGAAGAAGGAAGAAACAAACAAACAAACAAACAAATGTAACACCAGAAATCAAAAACAGGAGTGGTCTTTTTTTTTTTTTTTTTTTTTTTTTTTTTTTTTTTTTTAATAGGCTTCACGCCCAACGCGGGGCTTGAACTCACGACCCTGACTGAGATCAGGACCTGAGCTGAGATCGAGAGTCAGGCACTTGACGGACTGAGCCACCCAGGCACCCCAAACCTAGGAACGGTCTTGACAAATCAGTACAGGTTAATTTTATCGAATCTCCATCCTTGAGTACACAGCTCTGTGACAAAATGGGAAATACACATTGTGTCGCGTACCAAAGTACGACAGACAGTTGTCCCAGGAAGAACACTTGTGTAATCGAGCTGGGGGCTAAATTAGCCACTTTTTCATGGCACACCATGTTTACTTGAAAGAACGACTGACAGACAAAACTACAGTTATTCAGACTTGGCTGTTTGGCAGGCATTTTCTCCCAAAATGAACGAAGTCAGCCCGTCACTTCAAGAAACATAACTGGCGGTATTTGTTGCCAATGAGAAAATTCAAACTGCAAAGCAAAAATTGGCATTTTTGGAAAACTTGGATCGGCCCACTGTGCGCTGGGTAAGCTTCTTGATGTTCAAAGACTTTCCTTGGGGAGATCGGTGAGGATATTAACAAATGTGACTTCCTGATACCGGATAATGAAATGCGTCAACACTCGGAGGGTCTACATAACGCAGCGAACCATATTTTCCAAATGACCAGTGCATGATATTATAAAATGGGCAAAAGATCCAAGCAAAGTTCAAGGTACATCAATAGAGTTTAATGTAATGTAAAACAAAAAGTTCATTGATATGCTCTCGGACTCCACACTGCGACAAACCTTTGAGAAATGACCACCTGTGCCGATTTAATACGTTAGCAAAGAAGGATGTGCACCACTATCTGATAAAAGCAATTAAAGGACTCCCTTTCCCACTGCGTATCTAGGTGAGGGAGGTCTTTCTGCATATACTTCAACCAAAACATATCACAGCAAGGGTGCCTGGGTGGCTCAGTGGGTTAAGCATCTGACTTCGGCTCAGGTGGTGATCTCACGCTGGTGAGTTCCAGCTCCTCACAGGGCTTTCTGCTGTCACTGCAGAGTCTGCGCTTCAGAGCCTCTGTCTCCCTCTCTCTCTGCCCCTCCCCCACTTGCACTTTCTCAAAAATAAACATAAAAAAAAAAAAAACCG